AACGATGTTAAAAAGTTGAAATTATCAGTGGTGCAGCTGTTTCCTAATAAACAGCTATTAAAATAGTTCCAGAGTCTACTGTAGCATGAAGCTCATTTTTTTCATGATTTCTGGTGACAGGTTAAAGTGTGTGTATAAGGTTAATATTTGGAACATGTTTTTTTGCTCCCTAGGGGAGAATTGTATGAAGTAATGATGTGTAGTAATGGTTTGGGCGGGGACCGTGAGCAATTTAGAAGACTAATGAGAACCATGCAGTGCAGCTAAGAATGTTCCACTCTCCAGCATTGGCTTAGTTGTGTTTATCTGACCACCTAAGGATGTGATTAGGGTGTGGTTTTCAGGGAGAGACCAGATCTCCTAGCAGACCAACTGGAAAAGTTGTGGTGAGCCTTTGGTAGGTGAGTCCTGTCTGGGCTGAACACAGTGAGGCTAACAGCTTTGGGGCTGCAGATCCAAGGCAGGTGAGCTGATGCAACGAGCAGCTGCAGCTGGGAGGAGATGGGCTCCCTCCTCTGTCTTTCAAGTGTTCGCTCCCTTTTGCATCCTTCTCATCGTGTCACCAGTCTCACTCAGTCTGTTTTCTGCCTTTCCAAGCAGGTTAAATCAATTTGTAGAGGGGTCTGGCAAGCTTGCTAAGCAGCAACAACATCTGTTCAGGAGTGGAGGGCAGAGATGGGAATTCTCCCTCTTGGCAGCAAGGAGATGTTCATTTTTGTGCCTTGCAGAGCTATACCTTGCGTTAGACTGGGTGTATGAGGTGACCTGAGAGTAAGGGTAATTGGATTTGCTAAGTACAGGAGAAAGTGCTTGCAGGAAGAAAGGTGAAAAGGCAGCAGTAGGGAGTGGAGATCAGAGACAGATGGCCATGTGTAGATGTTAGCAAGAGAGGCTGGGGAGCAAAATGCATTTTTTATGGTAGGATCAGAGAGCCTTCCATAGCAGTGATGGTAGGAAGAGACCTCTGGAGGCCTCTAATCCAGCATCTTGCACGTAGGAGGATAGAAGGACTATCACTGACACTAGATCACATCAGCACTGGCTTTCTATGAGTCTTGGAAGCTCCTCAGGCATAGGGATTCCCCCCAGCCCGTTCAGTGGCCCCTTCCTGGCCGTATTACACTCACTTAACTTTTGGTTCCTATTGGCCCAATCTGCAACTTGTGGCTGTTACTTTTTACACCATGTATCGCTCCTATCGCAGCCTGGTGCATCATTTGCTGTTATTTGCAGTCAGGCCATGCTGCAGGCTCCTGTTCAGCCTGGTGCACCCATGTCCTTTTCAGCAGGGCTGTTGTGCAGCCAGGGGATTCCCAGCTGGGGCTGGGGGGTTACAGTGCCCAGCTGCAGGGCTTGGCACTTCTCCTGGAAGCAGCTGGAGGTTTGCTGAGGTCTCCTGTGCTGGAGGTTCTGCCTTTTTCTATGCTGACCTTCCCCCTAGGTAAGTGTCATCTGCAGATTGAGACAGAGGAGAGCTGCACAGGGGGTTATATCCCTGTTGTCCCTTTGAGTGCAAATATTCTCTGGTGGCTTTGTATCTTCCATGGAGCTTTCAGTAGACGCTTGGGCTCTGAGCTGAAGTATATCAGTCACAGGAAGAGCAGTGCAATATCTATAGGCACATTAGCAGCGGAGGCGTGAGATCTGTATTTTCAGAACTCGGCTGGATAAGGCCATTAGGAACTTGATCTAGGCTTAGAGCTGGCCTTATGTGCCTTCCCACCTACGTTCTTTATGGTTCTGTGTTACACAGAGTTTGTTTTCATTTGTTTTTCTGCAATGGGGCTCTGCATCTGCTGGTGAGTTTACAATTTGTAGTAAAAAAAAAAATAATCTGTCCAGAAATGCAGTTTATCATACTTCTCCATGATGCTGGCAGTCGTATGCATAAGAACCTTTGTTTTTTTTTTTCATCTCCTTTGAGATGGGAAGGAGGCAGCAGAAGGATATAATTATGGGAAAGGAGTTCAGGAAAAGAAGGGAAAGTCTTGGGCTGTTGATACAAATCAGCTCTGGAGAACTGATTATGTCTGAGGATGGCCTGTGTCCAGTTATCATCAGACTTCAGCAAGACAGGAACAGTAAAAAGGAAAGGAGACATTAAGTCAGCATTGTGGACTGCAAGTAACCAGGCTGAGTCACTGTACCCTAGAAAAAGGATCAGAGAATCATATTTGGAAGAACACAAATAACTGGTAAATTCAGAGACCCTGGTGGGGATTAAAGGCCAGGAGAAAAGAACAGAAAATATTACAGCACTTAATGTGATACTGCTTTCTCTCTGGTGTTGTCTGCTGCCTGAGAGACAGACTGCAATGGGAGAGCTTTTCTGCTTTGTTTGTGTAGCTACAGTGTGGCTGCTTTTCTGTCTGCTTTATTTATAGTGCAGATGTCACTGTTTTAGCCTGTCCGTAAATAAATTGTGTGATTAGCAAGAGATGATACAGTGGATAGACAGATTTTACTTACAGGTAACATAAACCACTCTACAAAGCAGTAATAAAAAACATTTTTTGATGTTGCTTTCCTTTATTAAAAAAAATAAAATAAAATAGGCAATTAGCTATTGGTAGCAAAGATTTAGGTAGCATTCATAGTTTACTTCCTCAGCAGTCATCCTTGAAAATGCACCTCTCTTCTGGAGAAATGTTGCACTAATCAAACAGCATTTGGTTAACTTCTTGCAATAAGAAACTGTTTCCTACCAAGGACGTGCTGCAGAACTCCCCTCATATCACTTCCTTTATTTTTTCCATGAGCTGTTCATAAATATTTGTCATTAACTCCCTGCTGTGTCCATAGCAGTTGACATCTGGATACCCATCCCAGAAGCATTTTCACACAGTGTTGGCTTTTTTTTTAGCAGGAAAAAAAGAAGTAAAACACCAAAACCCAAGATTATTCTCAGGGGAAGCATCCTTGAGAGCTAATTACTGCCTGTTGTCCTTGTTGTTGCAGACAGCCCATTCCTTATATGAGAAGAAGGTGACAAAGATCAAAAATGTTCTTCCTATTCCTTCAGTAGAACCTTCCAGAAGGAAGCAATTAGTGAGCTCAGTGTCCACCTCATGTGCCTTGGACTGAGCCAGAGTTATTGACTGAGCCTTTCTGGGACGGTCAGCTGCAAACCTGTGTCTGTACAGGTTTCCTACTTTGAGGCTTAGGAGCATTCCCTCTACGTGTCCTATACATCTATGGACCTATCTAGAACCTCTTGCATTGCTTTGTGGTTGTGCATCAGAAAATTCACATAGATCCTGGGTCCCTGTCTCCTGTCTTACATGAGCTGGTGCCAAAGCTTGCTGACTGATTTGCTCTGCTTCCAGAAAGTGGGGTCAGAGCAAATGCACTGTTATGGGATGTTCAGCTGGAGTCCTGCACTGCGTGCTATGGGACGTGCTGTTATGGCAGCATGGTCTGGGGATCTGCCTACGAAGAAGAAAGTAGTATTTTATCATTCACTTGTACTGTAAGGGAATGAGGAGATATTGTTAAAGTGAAGAGTCTTTTGAAAGAACACTGTTTCTTTGTTTTTGTTACGTGGATGTTTTTGCTAAATTTGAGTCGTTCCTTCTATTTCTTCGAAGTCCTGGCAACTAGGAGTGCATGTCTGCATCGGAGAGATTAATGAGCAATAAACCTGTTTCTGAGAAGTGGGTCTTCAAGACAAACCGGTGTTAAGTCCTATTATAGGAGTTGAGTGGCTGGAGATGGCACCCTGATGTCTGTTCCAGCTTTGTTGTGTATGAATACGGCACTGTTAGAGAGCAGTGTGGCTCTTTCCTCTGCTGGAATCTGGACAGTGAAACAACTGAGAGTTGGGTCGTGGCTGGAAGCTTCCCATATCTGGTCAGTGCAGGCGGGGTGCGACAGGCTGCACAAACAGTGCTGTGCCTTTCTGCTGCCCAAATCACTAGCTTGGTTTAGAAAGCAGCTTCCCAAGTAGTTGGAGACCTCTTGTATAGGGGGGAGAGGAGGACTTTGGGAACCTCAAACTCCAGGATAGTGTAGAGCATGTAGAACTGTAGAGTAATTGCAGAACAGAAGTGTGCTTGGGCTGGCATATGTGTGTCAGCACGTGTTCATGCTCCTGAAATGGGATGTTTGGAAGAAGGAGGAGGTCCTTCTATTTAAAAGGAAGCAGAGAAGTGAAGAGAAAGAAAGCCTTTCCATCTCTGATTTTCCAGATCTCTGGAACAGATTATGAAGTGTTTTAAAAACTACTGAGAAAGTGGCTCAAAGAAGCTTTTACAATTCTTATTTCTTCAGCTCCCTGAAAGCAAACTCATGGCAAGTTGGGTTATTCAGTGTGTGTTAAGGAAAAGCTCCAAGTTTCTGGAAAATACTAAGGCAAGGAATTTAGTCAGTTCATCATAGGCATTCTTTGGTATTTAATAAACTTAGTCTTGGATACTATATCCTAAAACAATTTTGTTTTGAACTATTTAGAGTAAATAAATTGAAAGTTGCAGCTGTATTTACTTGACTGTTTCCTTATTAGCCTCTTATCACATATGTTGTTAAATTAATAATAGCTCTTACATTTGAACCATTGTGCAATAGACAGTCCTATTGCCTTTTCTCAAGAAAGCATGTGTTCATGGGGGGGCAAGGAATGTTTTTTTATCCCTGGAGGATCCAACGTCTGAGTTCTGTTGCTTATACTGGAATGTCTGTGGGGCAGAATGGCAACACAGTGAGCAGCATAAGAAGAAACAGCAAGCATTGTCTGTGTTCTACAGTACTGAGTATAGTATAAGTACTGAGCAGAGTATATTCTCCTGTGATTAAACAGTGTGTTATAATCCACAGCTACAAACAAAATGCACAGAAACTATGTAGAAGCTGCCTTAGATGTGACATGTGTTTGACCAATGTTTGATATTTCAACAGTTCTTAGATTTGTTGTTTAAAACAAACATTTTTATCCCTTTAGCTGATGGTTTAATTTTTTTCTTTTTCATGCTGTTTAAAAAAAAAAAAAAACATTGTATTTTCAGGTTCAAAGTAAGCAAGAGAAGAAACCTGGAACGTCATCCCCAGTCCCTTTGAACTCAGTGGTTAGCCCTTCTGCTCTGCCTGTGAATAAAGCCACCAGCAGTACCCCTTTGTCCGTAAACATTCCACGTTTCTACTTCCCTAAAGGACTTCCGAATGTCTGCACTAATCATGAAGAGATCATTGCCAGGATCGAAGAAGCCTTCACAGAGTTTGAAGATGAGAAAGCCAACATCTGTGAGATGGGAAAAATTGCAAAGGTAACCTCTCTAGATTTCTTTACTTCTTGGAAAAGGAGAAAGGCTGAAACTGAAGCAAATAAAATACCTTTTTCTTTCCCTATTTTTAATTTTTTTTTTATTTTTTAGTGAAAAACAACCAAAATTCTTTGCTCTGAGGTTTTTTTTTCCTTTTAGATTAAGAAAATAATTAACAAAAATGAGTTCAGTTAAATTGTCCATGGGAAAAGATGGCTGTTTGTCATGACTGATGTGCATGCTCCATCCTACCTGGATTTGCAAAATCATTTTTCCAGACTTTTTAGCAAATAAAAAATGCATTTATTTTTCTGTTTCTTCATAGTTATGCTTAGAAGATAGCAGAGATGTAAAGTGTCTCTGTGGCTTCAGATAGTGCTGGTTACCTTCTCTGTGGCTAGCTGTCCAACTGATCTAGACATGATCTGTGTACACTGCAACAGCATTGCTTGGGAAAGGAATTTCCAACCTATTCCACCTTGAGCATAGCAGAAGAGGGAAATGCTTAGTCAGCCCTACTCCACTGAGATGCATATGTTTAATGTCCACAATGTCAGCAGACTTGGAGTTGCTACAGTCTGTTAATGATTTCTTGGCTCCAGAGAACAAAACACAGCACTTGTGTGGGAGCACGATGCAGATGGGCTGTTCTATTTTCCTCTTCTTCCATCGTGGTTTTTAGTAATACTAATCTAAGACTGGCAGTTGTCAGATGCACCTCATATGTTCAGCTTGTCCTGTGTGTGAGTGCATCTGTGGCACTATAGATTGAGCAGTGATGTTCTGTCCAAGGGGAGGACTTGTTTTCTAAGAGGGAAGCTTAGCTTTGTTTTTTGAGTGGTACACTTACAAGCCATCTTTGAAAATGTAAACAAAATTTCTTAGCTTGACCAAAATAAGTTTTGAAACTGATTTTATGCCAACACAGTTAACTGTGTGTGGCTTGTCATATTCAATATGGGAAAAGCAGGAGAGCTGTGTAGAAGACATTTTTGCCTTTCTGTTTGGTCTCTGCAGCCATCTCTAAATGGGTGTGCTCTATGTTGTTCAGTTGTTCTGTGGCTTGCTGCTGTTCTCTGGGACTATTGGGAATGGTACATGTTTGGAGGCTCTAAAGGAAATGCAGGAGAGCCAGCTACACAAAGAAAACTGCAGAAAATAGATGTTATTTTTTCCTTGGAATAGCAAAGCACCTGTGGAAATGCAGTCACCTGACAGAAGAATGGCTTAATCCTAACATGTTTATTTATTACCATTCTGAAAGCTACCTAGGTAGAAATGCTAATGCAGTGGTTAATTAGAATGTTGTGTTCAGAGAGTCCTGTTGGATTTGGCCTCTTTGCATTTCATATTCTATTATCTTGCTGAGATTTAGCAGAATTGGGAATGGGCTGCTCAGGCTAGAAGGCTCTGCACTGATAACTGTGGGATTGGAATTATTTCACATTCAGACATTCAATTACTAATTGTCTGAGGTGTTCCTGCCCATGGCAGGGGTGTTGGAATTAAATGATCTTTGAGGCCCATTCTAACCCAAACCATTCTGTGGTCTGTAACTAGAATTGAAGTCGCCTTACTGTTAATGAGAAGTTAGCTCATAGGAAATGGATTATCCTGGCCTTAGGTGTGTTTGTGAGGTAGCTGGTATGGATGGTCCTTTGGAGGTTCCTCTATTCACCCACTTGGCAGAGTAGTTTGGTCAAAGGCAGATCTGAAGAGTCTGTGACCATTTCTGGATGGGCAGGGTATATTTCTCAGTTACTTACAAAGGCATATAAGGGTGGATTCTGAACCTTAGCACACAGTAAACAGCTTTTTGACTAAGCTGTATGCCATTACTGCTTCATTTCCTGTATGTGAAAGTCCTCAAGGTGATTTCAGTGCATAAACAATTCAGTGTGACTTCTCTTTGTTCCCGTGTTTCGTTGCAGATATGTGGCTGCCCACTCTACTGGAAAGCACCTATGTTCAGTGCATCAGGAGGACAAAGGACAGGATGTGTATCTGTGCACTCATTTGTGTCTTTGTGGAGAAAGTGAGTATAGAAAATGCAAAATTCTTTTTTCTAGAAAAAGATAAATTTGCCTTTTCCTTCTTCTACCATTCTTTTGAAAGCTTTGTCCCTTTTTTAGAAAACATAAATGGCTTAAAAATCTGTTTTTCCTTTCCTATAAATTGCTGAATACTGATGCTATGCCATGTACATCAGTAAAATTAACATTAGTTGTATAGATAATTAAAGATGCTATTTGTTTGACATATAAAATATATTAACACACTCCTGGAAATGTCAGCTACTGTAAGATAGCTGCTAAATGTTAATGATTCTTGGATGTGTTTATCTGAGGCCTTGTCAATGCCCTGGTGTGCTGAGTGAGTCTGATTTGGGAACGGGGAGAGGAAGCTTGTTGCAGGGCAGGAAGAAGGAATGTGAAATAAAAGCATCATACAAATTGGCCAAACTCAGCTTTGATAGTTGTTACCTTCTTCACACACACTTCGTAATAACTGTGTGGGTTTTGGCAATTGTTTCCTCGTACCACTGTCAAAACTTCATTTTGACATTGAAAGCTCTTGCATATATCATGTTTGGAGTTAGAGGTGCTAGGTGGAACAGACCTGTTCTCTTGCCTAATCTTTTTCCTTCAGGGCAATTCAGTCTTTGTGAAACACCTGAACAGCATCTCCACCTCCTATCCAGAGATACTTCTATTTTTTGACATAATGCTCACCATTTAGATTCTTGAAGTAGTCTTTAATCCTGAGTTCCCAAAGCATTTCCTATGAGAATGTTGTTAAAACAGCCAAGTTACCCTGGCAAAATTACACAGTTGTTAGGGATGACTGTAATCAGTAAGTTTTTCTTGACAAGGGCAACATTTTTTCCTTCCTGAAGTTCCTCCAGCTAATCCAAATTAATCCCTTATGTACGATAGCACATTCTTGCTCCCACTGATTTGCACATCCTTCAGATTATTGCAAACTGTGGTTGTGCTTCTTTTCTGTATTCCTTTAATCCACACCGCTTCCAAGCTGTTTTAAAAATGTTTTCTTCACTTTGATTTGTCTCTAAAGACTTTTTTTTTCTTTGTCCTCCCTTCTGATGGTTGTAACAATTCATTCTGGAAACATGATACTCAGAAATAAAGGTAGTGTTTTTTGTAAAGCTGCACCACAACTGTATGAACACAGCCGTAATTTCAAAACAGGAATGCGAAATCTCTTACGTCTATTTTTAAGCATCTTAGTAAGTGGTCTGACTTCTCAGAATGCTGTGTGCATACCAATCTCACTTGAAGTCGATAGGAATTGCTGTGTGTATGATACTTTTGAAAATTGGAGCTTTTAGTTTGGTGTTAAAACATGGCTTTGGGATTCATCTTTGTGTGTGATTTAAAAATAAAAAAAAACCCACCTCTTTCGTGCAGCTGATTCAGAATGTATTTGTTAATTGACAGCATGATGTGAACGTGAAGCTAACAGAACGGATTGTCAGCCACTAGTTCCCTTTTTTGTTTTCTCTGACAGACTTAAAAGGTGTTCCACACTCCCCCCCTTTTTTTTTTTTGTGAAATCTGCTTTTGATAAAGAGTAATAAGACCAAAATTAGTGGCATGCCAGTTAGTGTGATATCTGCAGGAAGACTAGAGGCATTTCAGTGCTGTGTTTCAACATTTCCACGTCTCTCTAAGTTCTCAGCCCTATTAGTTTTTTTTCATAGTATCACAGAATCATAAAATTGCTCGGGTTGGAAAAGACCTTAAAGATCATCAAGTCCAACCACAACCTAACCATACTATCCTAACTCTAACAACCCTCTGCTAAACAACCCTCTGCTAAATCATGGCCCTGAGCACCACATCCAAATAGTTTTTAAACACATCCAGGGATGGTGACTCAACCACCTCCCTGGGGAGCCTATTCCAGTGCTTAACAACCCTTTGTATAAGAAGTTGTTCCTGATATCCAACCTAAACTTACCCTGGTGCAATTTTGATCTTTATAACTTCTTGTGCACAGCAGCCAGCCATGCCATAATTAATGAGAGATGCTCATTATCCTTTTGGAGAGTGATTTTTCAGGTCTGAGACTTAGTCACTGGAGTTTCACAGTATCTTCAAACATTGAAATGTAGTGAAAGGCTGAATTAGGATACATGTCTGTTATGACACTGTTAGGTTGGTCCTGTTGACTTCAAAAGAGATCAGTGAGCATGCAGCGTTTTGAAAAGTCAGGTTTCTTATTAAGATGCCATTGAATCAAAATAGAAGTCATCAGAAAGAAATATGTTGCTACCACAGAAATGTTGACATGAAAAAATCTTCACTGAGCAGAAGTACCTTGGTGCCAGGAGACGCCGAAGATGGTGCTAGTATTGAGGTCAGCTTTGCATAATGCATATTGTAGATGTATTGCATAACATGTGATAAGGCACTTGATCATCTAGCTGTGATTTGTGATTGTCTGTGAGATGCAAAGCAGTTGGAGTAACTTTTCATCTCTCTCACAGAATCTTACGTAACTGCCATGATGACGCATCCAGATTTGCTTACCTTGTAGCAAAGCCCAGCTGTGGTTACCTTGAGCAGGAGGACTTCATCCCGCTGCTTCAGGTACCTGCACTCAGCAGTGAGGTGATGGGGACGGGGGAAATGTTTGTTTTTTTTTTAACTACTTTATTCTCATGTCTTTAAATGTTTACCAAAAACATGCAGACCTCTGATTGAACAGCGTCTGGGCGGGTTACTTTATAGAGCAATTATAATTGAATTTGTCTAACCAGACTATCAGATAAAATATCATCACATGGAAATCTGTGCAAAAGAAACCCTTGCAGTTCCAACTGGCCTGTGTGCATCTCTGTACCTGTTAGTACCAAAGTTCCACTGCTGCTTTCTTTCTGATATTGAGGCAAAATGTCTGCATCGCGCTTTCATTTCTTCTTAGTATGCAGGCCAAAGTCTGTGCATCTTACTTCATTTCTTTCTTTCCCTTCAATTCAGATGTGATATTTTTAGCAGAGCAACTATGAAAGCAAAGTATTGTGGCCATTTATGCAGACTCTGGATAGATTTAGCTCTTCTACAGTCTCTCTGTAAATCAGGTCCATCTGCTTCTCTTATCATCTGTTGATAATTTTTTTTTTTTCTCAGGCTATTCCATAATGTCCTTAGTTTTAATACACTTTGTTGCCCTCTTTGCAAAACCTCAGTAGAGATGCTTTGCTAGGGAAAGATTTTTTTTCTGTGCTGGATGTTTGTTTGTCTCAAACAAGCCTAACTGGGACTGCAATGGGTAAATTTTCTTATGTTCTTTTTCACCTTTTCTCCACTGGGCATACTGCCTTTCCTGACTGATAGCAGTTCTACTTCTTAGCTACTGGTTCATCCAAAGACATGTACAGTCTTGTTTGTCGTTGAACCAGATGTTAGCAGTATTACACCATACGACACCATCATATTAGACATCGGGTTAGACTGGCCAAAACCTGGTCATATTATGCCCCTAAGGGCACTGTATCAGCTCTGTCCCCTTGCCACATCATGGTATAAACAGCAAAATTCTGAACACCTCTTAAAGAGTAGAGGAGTCAGACATGTAAAATTACACAAACATTCTGATACACAGAGGATCTGAGCTGATTGAATCAAGATCTAAGCAATTTCTGTATACATCTGGTCATGCATTTTTTAGTAGGTTTGGCATCATGAGTGAGAATTTCACTTACAAAAAGCTGGCCTTATAAAACTCCGTGTATAGTTCAAGTCAATTTTGGGAAAGCACTGATGTCTGTCTGCTTTCTAAGGTTCATATGAAATTTCATTGTTGTGGAGGATGTGAAAGGCAACTTTCTTAGCCTTTCGCAGAACACTCATTACTGATGCTTAGCTCTAACAAATATCAATGTCTTCAATGAATGGAAAAAATGTTTTTGGAGAAGAGGTGGTTGCATGGTCAACTAACTAATTTTGTATCTCGTTCAATAAAAATGAGTTTTCATCCACTCACTAACTCTCTTCCTTTGTTTTTCTGTCCTTAAGTAAATCAATATGGCCCAACAGGTGCGTATTGCCCAGAAAATGTATTGTACTTGTATTTCTAGAAGGTTCACTTCATAGATTAAAAGGTATAATTTCAGTTTTATTGTTAATGCTGAAAAAGTAAGCAAAAGTATTAGTTTAAAAACAAACAAACAAACAAAACCCAGTAACATCTGAACTATAATAAAAGGAGTAGGAAATCTGTTTCATTTTATTTGGTCTTATCTTGCAGGATGTGGTAGAAACGCACCCTGGTCTGACGTTCCTAAAGGATGCTCCAGAATTCCATTCCCGGTATATTACTACGGTAGGCTGGCTTGTTTCATCTCCTGTCACAGTGCTGTACCAATCCTCTTTTTGTTATTTGTCACTCTTCCCAGATCATTCATTTATTGCAAAAATACATGTTTTTATATTGCTAGCAAGAAGTTACATTCAAAATTTCTTCAGAACAAAAAAATAATCAGTCTGTGTATAAGAGGTCATTCACAAGGGTAGTAATGATTCTTTCTGGTCTCAAGCAAATCTTTAAAACAATTTTGGCCTTTAATTATGCTGGAGGAAAATAAGAGTGATCCTTCTTTGGTCTTTGAGAGCTACTAAGTTACCCCCGATACTGCAGGGTTGATGTGGCCTGGGAGGCCTTATGTTTGAAGACTTCTGTCACTTAGGCGTGGGGAGTCTGATTGTTCCATGGTACAAGGCATCCATTGCACTGTTATCCAACTCTCCTACATCTGACTTGCCAGAACACCTCTCTAGTCTTTCTGAATCACTGAATTTTTGTGACTACTGCTGGTAGGTCTGTAGCTTTGTTCCAACTCTGCAGTCAGACTTGTGCTTTACCTGAAAAAGTTTGTACTTTTTTTTTTAAGCCTGTGTTGTGTTGGGTATGAATGTGGATAAAAGATATAAATGTAGAATGTTTGATCTCTGCAATGATAATAAACTCAGATAAAAATGGGCCTGAGGAGAGCTTCATCTCAGCTGGGCTTAGGGCTTTTCTTATTGGCTTGACAGACTCTCTGTAGGAGTCTGCTGCACCACGTATTGGCAGCTGGGAGATTACTGGCAGGCACAGACTTATCCCTTTCCTGTAAGGAGCAGATGGCAGAGGGACACTGCTGCTTCGGCCATATCCAGTGTTTTGTGAATCTGTGTAACAAGAGACAATTTCAAATGTCTAAACACTCTTGACTGTGGTGGTGAATGTCAATGTATTATCAGCATCTTCAGTGGAGTGAGACAGCAGATATGTTAAGCATAGTACCTGGTCAGAGTATAACAAATGTCTAGGTGATTATGAAGGCTCGTGAATGGGTGAATTGCTGTGATTTCTGGACCTCACCAGGTGCTGTGTGTGTTCTGGTCTGAGGGATAGCTGCACTTCAAGATAACTGAAATCTAGGCTACTACTAAAAGGAGAAATCTTTTCCTTCTTTTTTTTCTTACAACTTCCCTTGTACCTTGATGAGCTATGTCCTGTATGACAGTCAAATTTGGGCACAGAAGAGGATCCTTCACGTGTACGTGAAACTTCTCACTGCTTCTCAATTCTACTTATCTCCTCTGTGCTTTCTTTCTTCAGCCTGAGAGCCTTTAGACATCCCTATGTGTAATACTGTTCACAGTGGTGGCTTCCCAAGGTTTCTCTCCGGCACCCAGGAAATGATAGTGCTGGTATTTGAAGTGAACAGTGCGTGGCAGCGAATCTTACAAAGCTGTGACATCCTTCACAGACTTCTCGTGCTTGCAGAACAACTCTGTTTTGGGTGTCTCTTCTGATAAACAGATTCCTCCTGAGCTCTGTGTTCAGCCTTGTCTGGATCACTGAGCTGGTGCAGAGTCCAATACCTAAGGAGAGACACAAAGTCTGTTGGGTCAGGTTGGTCCCACACGGAGTGGCAATACATGGCCCACTGCAGTAGTGCCTCTCCTCTATGACAGCAGGAATTCTTATTTCTCACGTCTGTTCATGAATAATTTGGCACTTATAGCTTTATTAGTCATGAAATTGAGTATTTCCACCAGGAGGTAATGAAGGAAACAGCTTTGTCCTTGGATTTTGAGACTGCCTGGACGCTTTCATTCTCTTCAAGGTAGAGTACCTTGTATTTATTTATAGTGATAGTGCTGTATCTGCAGCAAGAGCAAGAGTTATATTTTATTTTTGTATTACAGATCAGGGCCATAAAGAGACACTGGCTTTTGCATTCATTATTGAATATGGCATCACTTGGTTGAAATCATCTGGAGAGTAAGTTAACAATGGGTGTGTTTGCATGTTTCATTATTTTTTTACTTCTTTCCATGCCTTTTAGAGGTGCCTTTTGGATACACTAGCCTTTATGTAACCTGCATCAGTGTATTTGACCTGTTATACTGCCAAACTATTTGTTTCTAAAGTATACTAAACTACTTGTTTCTTTTAACAGAGGTAGACTCTTGGAACCAACGAAGAGGATGCAGAATATCATGAGACCTTTAACATCACTTCTTCCAGAGTGTACAAAGACAGCTCAGTGTTAGCAATGCATGCTGTTGTTAAAAATCTGAGTCAACTGAAAACAACTTATCAAAACTTACTGCTTGGTGAAAAACATTCAGCTTATATAGTATTACCCACGTGAATGTGGAAAGTGAAGATAGCCTACAGGATTTAATAAAGATCTGGGGTTTTCTTGTGTTGTTTGTTTTTCCCCCCCTGAAATTGTATTGTTTTTCTTTTATGGGGATATTGGGAAAAGATCTGGAACTAACCATCAATGGTTTTTGACTTGGAGATACTTTATATGACGGTATTGGGCAAATAAGAAAGGAGCTTCCCCCTTCCAAAGGCTTATGTACTCAATTCAGAATAAACAGACTTCCATGCCAGGAAGAAGGGAGCCAGAGTCACAGCGTGCAGGGTTGTAGCTGCTGAGTAGAAGTGCATGTAGCAGCTTGGGCCTGAGGCCAGTTACTTGCTTGGTTTCTAAGCTTACAGTGCAGATGCAATCATGCAGCAGGTGCTTTAACTGAGAAGCGTAAAGCAGGCAGGCCACAGGAATTAATTTTCTGCCACAGTAGACACTGGCTGTTTGAAAGCTGCAAATCATGTCAGCTTTATTATAATGTCCTAGGATATTTCCCAAATGCTTTTTTTGACAGCTTTGTCTTTGTAACCTGGAAAAGAGAGAAGTGGAGACACTCTGTGTGTGTGTGTGTGTATGTGTAGGTGCAGTTTACTACTCACCAAAACTACCATTATTTGAATAATAAAGCCTGCAGTGAGTGACTGGATACACTAAAGAGGAGGTGAAAAGAGATTCCATCTTTCCCCTGTATGCCTTATTTTTACAGCTGATGAGATGAGAGCAGAAGGTACATCTTTATCAATACGATCTGACAGAGGAACAGTTTCTTTGAGTCACTAAGGGGGATATTTTGCTGTCTGCCATTACCCATCAGGCAGAGGAAAAGAAGGAGACTGCTAGTTAGTTCTTTTTCTACCTTGAGATTGTTATGTTTGTGTCGTTGGAATGTTGTGAAAAGGCTGCATCTTTGTGAATTGCTAGAATTGACAGATGTGGTAATGGATTGTGTGTGAGGTGAGACACTTCAGTCTCTGAACTGGCTGGCAAAACCTGGAAGCAAAGCCCAAACAAAGTTCAAAAATAGTCCAGGATGGCAATGGTTGCCAGCAACATTGAAGAAGGAAGACACAGCTTTGAATTGTTTAAGACCAGAAAAGACCATTTTGATTTTGTGATTCCCTAGGCTGACCTCTGGTATTACACAGACCACAGAACATTGCTCGGTGATTGCTATATAAATTTTCTTTTTGATTGAATTAATGCACAACTTAAAAAAAAAAAAAAAAAAAAGTGTCTGTGATTGATGTTTGGAGTGGTAAAGAGCCCACTGTGTCTCTGCAAGTTGTCCCAGTGGTTAATAACTGGCAGTGTTTATTTAAAAAATAAATAAATAAAACAAAATTCTCTAGATATGTACTTTGAGAGACAGAAAGTCCTTCTGCTGTTGTGTATGTCCCCCTGTAGGCTTCTAAGGACTAGGATAGTTACCAGTAGATATCATGTTAAGCTGAGTTGACTGTTTTCTCTTTTGGGGGTAAATTCTGAGTCCTCAAATCATTCTTGTTGCTCCCAAAACTATCTGGACTCATCAGCATTTATTGTCTCACTGTTCTTTGTATCCAAAGCAGACTGTTAGGAATGATCTCATACTTGTTTCCAAATCTGTTCTGGACTAAGAAGCCTGCCCTTGTGTGTCTGAGTCAAAGCATGGTCCTTAAATGGTCCTTGCCCACTTGTAGCAATGCTTTAGGCTCAGAGTGACCCATCACAGTCTTATCTGTATCCTTACAATATCCATGTTTTGTAAAGTTTGCTTTTATGTTGGAGTAGCATGTTCTATTAAGAATTACCAGAATCCTAGGCTGATATGTCAACATGTCAGAGAGATCAACAGTTTCTTTGTAGTAGATTTCATTTAGAAGGATTATAGGCTTATATACTTTATAGCCTTCAGTACTGATGGTCATTAATTACATTTCTAATTTCTTATGTTGAAGATGTTGTGTTAGCGATATTTATTCTTGTTCATGTTGTCAAGTTTATTCTTGCATGCTCTTAATCACACACTTGCATTTTCCCTGTCCTGCAATACTTGATGTGCTAAAAAGGAGTGGACTAGGAATAAATAGTTCAGCCTGCTCTTTTAGGTACTTGTGAGCACTCATTCTCATACTGTGTACTGTTCCTCATGGATTCTCAGAATTGTGTGCTTTCCTCACCGTGCTCTTTATTCCCTTTTATGAGAAGCAGTGAAGGAGATGAATGATGTAAACACATCCCTAAGACAAATGCAGACAGATAATCTCTATTGATTATTTTTAGTGGAGCCACCAAGATGGTGAGGTATTGTTACAGACACAATAGGTCAGACAACGCTTGTGGATTTCATTTGCATGTCCTATTTCCTCTTCTGAAGTCCTGATTTCTTTTTTCACAAGTGCAGAACACTATCACTTGAGGTCCTTGCAAGCTGCAGTGCCTGAAGCCTGAAAAACGTTCAGAGTGATTTGTCAGCACTTTGAACATATTACTTAAATAATAAATCTACGTGCTCAAAGATTAATTAAGTAGTGTGAAAATAGTTGCAGAGTGGAAATGGATAATACTGTTTCAGAAACAAATGTTACTTTCAGACTCCATAATAATTAAGAATAATAGTGTAAACAACAACAACAGAAGGTTTTTAGTAAGAAGTCTCCGTGGGATGAGTGAATAATCCAAATAAAGCTACTCCATTTCAGCTCCCTAACTGATTGTTTCGAGGAGTTGGTTTAATGAAAGTTGTTTGTCTTGCAGGTTATACAAAGAATATTCTACACAGTCAATCGATCCTGGTCTGGGAAGATCACCCTAACAGAGCTGAGGAAAAGCAACTTCTTGCAAGTATGTTGTTTCTACCTGAATGGGATATAGAATGCATTGAGTCCTTTATTCTTGTGCATTCAGTGAGGTTGTAGTAAGGCAAACTCAGTGCCCTGTAACCCAGCTCAATGCCAGGATAGGGGTAGAACTGGTGAAGGAGGTGTTTCAGAATCAAGATGATGAAGACCAAGGACCAGAGCAGCCAAGATTGCAGTGGATAGAAGTTGAAGGGGTATGTTCAAAACTCCGAAGCAGCGTCTGGCAGTTTGGCTCTTAGCTCCTGATCTAGCTAAAGTGAAAGAAAAGCAAGAGTCACAGTGCACCTATGTTAAGTGGCTCACTGAGCAGCCAAGAATAGCTGGTGGATGGACTATGATATGTGGTGAGTAGCACAGCCAATTTCTTGACTCAGCTGGCAATCAGTCCTCTGCCAGCTGGTCAGGCACACTGCACCATACAGTTGCAAGACAGAGCATCTCAGAATGCATCACCTAGTTTGTACTGATTTCTAATTGTGCAGTAAACTTCTCCAGAAAAGCTGTCGAGTTTAGCACTTGTTACAATTCCTGTGATATATCAGAGGAGGGAATGTTGGGTGGATGTTTTGGGATGAAGATCTCTGTTCATTATATAATTTACCCAAAAGAGCACCAAATTAAGACTGTCTAAGGCTGCTTGATTCCATCCCAGCCTAAAAAGCCAGAAGTCTTTATGCTGAAAGGTCGAGGTGATAAATCAGTTAATACAGTGAGATTTCCCTGCTGCATCCCACTGTCTAGATGAAATGTACTTTCTCAAAAGCCTCAAGCATGAAGCATACTCCTCCTTCCAGATTCTTCTGCCCTACTTGTCACATCAACTAATAATCAGTGCTCCCTTAAATTGTCTCATGCCAGACCAAGCCTTCCTCCCTACCGTCTGCTGTTAAATCCTTCCAACTTATACAACATCTTTGTTCACTCATTTTTCTCCCTTAATATGTTCATCACTTTCTCCTTGTGTAGCTACTCTGATTTTCACCTTCTGCAGCAGGGAAGTTCACCTTGGGGACCATGACTTGCTTAGACAGCTCTTTGCTGTATGTGTAAATGGCATATTTCTACATGAGCTATTAAAAAACAAAAAAAGTTCTTGAAAAACCTCAAGTGTTTATTGTCTGCAAAGGCACAGAGAGACTTAAGAAGCTAGTGAGTGATTGTTCAGAGATGTCTTAAGTCTTAGGTGACTTAAATGTCAGAAAATCAGAATAGTCTGGTAGGTCTGCTGCTCTGTTGTTCCTGTCTGAAGTTTTATTGAATCTGATGGTTAATGGGATGTGAGAGTTCTGTGCTGGCTCAGTTAGCTTCCTAGGATATAGAGAGAATGGAGAGAGAACAGTGAACTATCAGTACTCACTGGCCACTGCCATGAGGCCTGCTGTCTTAGGACACAGCTGCCTGGGACAGCTCTTTGACTGTCCTTCCTTCTGAGGTCTGTGAGGGCAGAGGAGGATAAGACCCATAGCTCTTTTGATTTGATTCATTGGATTGAGAAGGCTATCTGCTGTCCTCTGGCTGCAGTGCTCAGGGAAAGGCAAATGGGGATAAAGGTGAGATACCCTCTGCCACAGGAGGAAAGGACGGAGGTAGGCATATGGTGGAAATAAAACAATGTTGTTGTTGCTAAATGTTTCATAATGGGATATGGTAACAGAAATCATGGCTGAAAATCTGCCCAGGCCTTCCAGTTAAACTAGACTGATTCCTGTCAGCAGCAGGCCAGGAAAATCAATGTGATTGGTTTAATTTGCCTGGGATTGATCCTTCCCCACACCAGGCGTGAGTCTGGAGTAGGGCTTGATCTTATGCTTCAGGAGCCAAGCAAGAATGTGTGCAGTGTCAAATACGTCTCAGTTCCTGTGGATTTGCTGTGGTAAATGGCTGTAGAAGCCTCTGGGACAGGTCAGAGATGGTTCACAAATAATGGATCCCAGCTGAGACAGCAGTTGTCTTGTTCTTCTGCATGACCCTTTGCTACGGCTTAAAATTAACAGGAATTGTTCACGGGATTGGCAAAAGTCTTGTGCACATATGCTAACCAAGATGTTCAAGCCAGATGCTTTATAACTGCCTGTTAAATATCAAATGCAAGAACAAATCTCCTACAGTGAAGAAGGGATACGTTTTGGATTAGCTCTCAGAGCTGTGTTTGCCCAGCTTCTACAGAGGTTGAAGGAGCTGTTAAATTGCTTCTTTGTCTAGGTTTAACTTCCCACTTTTTGTATTGTTTCAGACTCTTGCTCTCTTGGAAGAAGAGGATGACATAAATCAAATCACAGATTATTTCTCCTATGAGCACTTCTATGTTATATACTGTAAATTCTGGGAGCTGGACACTGACCATGACCTTTATATCAGCCAGAAGGACCTGGCTAGGTACAGTGATCAAGGTATGCTGCCTGCAAGCTGTGGTGGGAGGAAAGTGGTTGCTGAACATAGAATGCTCCCAATAAAAAGTGAAGCTTAGCTTTAATTTAGTTAATTTGACACCTCAAAAAAATTTAAATGGAGACATCCATCTCATAAACAAACGCTGATTTACAGACTTACTTGTAGGGGCTTATGAAATGCAGAAATGCAGCAGATGCTGTTTTCCTCATGAGTAGCTTCAGTGGATTGCTGCCAGAAGGACAAGTCAATAATGCTTTCAAACTAGCTTTTTTTTTGCTGAGGGTTTTGCAGGTAGTTGAAGTACGGACAAGGAGGCCAAGCCTCTCTGAACTTTAAAGATTGCCAAATTGCAATCTGGTTTGGTGAGAGAACTTTCAGAGTCCAGTGAAGGTTGATGAATTTTGGTTTGCACATGCAATCTGGGGATTATCTTGAGTTCATTCTGGAACACTTTGCCACAAGTTGATCAGATCCTAAAAGTTTTCAAAGGCTCAAGTGCCATAGATAAATTAATGGAATAAAAATCCACGAAGGGGTGAATAATGCAAAAGCAATTTCTCTGGCTCAGGAAGTCCTTGCTCTGCAAGTTCTGGAAGGCTGAGAAAGCGTGCTAGAAAAAAGTCCCTGTATATGTGAACAATATTCTGTATGGTTTGTTTGCTGGGCTGGATGGAGGCACCCAGTCAGATGGGTTATGTCTAAGATTATCTGTGTTCTTGGAGCATGATGTGCCCATGTGCTTACAGTTAGGATTCATGACTTAGTGTCTTGGACAAGAACTTGAGCTATTGACCAGCATATTTTAATTTTGAAGATAAAGCTGTCTTGAATTCTTCTGTGTGTTTGCTACTTTTTAGAAAAGTAGTTCTAGAGAATTAGGCTTGGAGAAAGAAAGGAGTGTGGATTGACAACACTGTAGATCTGTGTGTGTTGTGGTGGCCCATGTCCTTGGGGTGGAAGTGTTCACGGGAAGGCCATGGGGGTTCTGGGTGAGTATGGCAGTCACAGCAGGTCAGGAGGTTGCTGAGAGGCCTGGATGGGCTGAGGATAAGGAGTGCCTAACTAGATGATATGGGTGACTCGGTCCCTTTGAGGAGGGTGGAGTGTGGACTGGAGCACCTCTTACACAGGAAGCTTGAGAGCACGGAGTGCTGGGGAGCTGAAGAGAGAAAGGGTGCTGTGGGCAGGGTAAAGGGGAGATGTTTTCAGTATAGTGGTGCAGCAGCAGGTCTAAAGGAAGTGTCTCCGTGGTCTGGAGTGTGAGGTCAGTGTGGAAGACCTGCCCAAGACTGGTACTTATTGCTTGTTTGATGCTTCTATACCGTAGCAACCAGCCCCACACATTTCCTGGTTGGCAAAGCCCTTCAACTTGCTTGAAATAATGCTTGTTTTTCATTGTCCTTCCCTGAAGCAGGGGAGTGCAACACTTTGTGCATTGCTTAGAAATGTTTTTGTATGGATTTGATATGTGATTTTTGCTGAACTAATTTTGCAGTACACATTGAAGTAGTCTCCTTCTATTAGTTCTACTGCAGCGAACTAGGGGTAATACTGCCCATACTGGAAGATGTACTGCAAGAATCCAGATCACACGTGGTGGCCGTATTTGAGAGGAAGTAATAGTGTTTGAGAGGATACAAAGGCAGGCATATCTTTGTTTTTTGCTAAGTGCTGCTAAACAGAGACCAGTGAAGTATATAGACAGGCAGTGTAGGTAGAGCTTTGTTTTAGAGATGGGAAATCACTGTGTGTGAGTTCACCTTAAATAACTGAATGTCATTATTCTGGTGACCTGTTGCTTCATTTTATCTATTTTCTTTGTTTCCAGCTCTATCAAGCAGAATTATTGAGCGAATATTCAGCGGTGCTGTGGTGAGGTGAGGAATAGCATGCTGACTGGGAATGGAAGTGAATTTCTGTCAGGCTGATTAGAAATTCAAGATACTGATCAGTGGGAATTTCTGAGAGTATGGTTTCCAACATGATGCTTCAGTTGAAGCTGCTTGAAAATTGAGTGGCACTTTTAGGTGTCTTTAGAAAGTAAATAAAAAATCTAGTAGGATGTTCACTTAAATATATCTTTGTAGAACACATAGTAGAAAATATTTTAGAACTGGGCATAGCCAGTGGGAGCATGCACACACTGTATTTTTGCCCAACAGTGGCACAGGGATAGCTGGACAGCATTGGTGCAAAGCCTCAGAAAAATAGCACAGCCCAGCAGCTGCTGTGTGAGGATACTTGGCAGGTGAGCCTCAGCTTTGCAGTGACAGCCAGGCAGCAAGCATTGTGCTCGGGAGGAAGGGCAGGAGGATTGTTGCTAGGAAGTGCAGGGAGTACAGGCTAAGTGGGCAGTCATGTTTCCATTTTCTCTTACAAGTGATTTGGGGCTTTTTAAAAATTGTGTTGATAACATTCTGAGTATTAAGAAGCCTGTTTTTTCTGGGTGTGTTTTCCAGAGGAAATGAAGTTCAGAAGGAAGGCCGCATGAGTTATGCTGATTTTGTGTGGCTGCTGATTTCAGAGGAAGACAAAAGAAATGCTACAAGGTTTGACTGATTTCTGTGTCCTAGTAAAAGTACTGAGATGAGCAGATAAGATTTTAGAAACTTCTGTGAGAGGAGAGTTTTCTTTTAATGTTAAGTGTCTTGGCTAACCATCCGTCACTTTGGTTCCCCCATGCTGATGAGGTTAGTGCGATTTTACCACTGTGAGGAACTGCTTGAGAGCAGTAGTGAGCTGCATAAGAGCTGAATTTGTTTGTTTTCCCCCTTTCCCCATCATACTTCCTTGTAAGTCTCAATCTCATTGACTGCAGACCAGATGATGGCTTCTCGCAAGGGCGGTCCCTGGCCCTTTTTGTAGAGGCAGCTGTAGATACCATCTGTCAGCACTGAGCTCCTGTGTAGTGGGCAGAGTTCAGCTCACATGGCTGCAGCTTTGTGGCCATGTGAACTGATATCTCAACCATGCTGTGAGGGCTGGGGTGCACTTCAGTGGGGGTCTGTTGTAGCAATAGCAGGGGCTGCAGTCACTTTTCGTGGCCTACCCCTGGCTTTGGGGATAAATCCATGAGATGTTTGCAGCTGGTAGGAATGTTCCCTTTATGCATGTAGCAAGTTCCTAAGAAGGGTTTGTAGGGAGACTGTGTCACTTAGTAAAACCTACCCACCTGCCTGGTTTGTGCAGCCAGTTTGTGCAGAGCAGAACTAGATCTGCATGCAGTTAATAGGACAAGGAATTATCTGAGCAAAGATGAGAACAACTCCAATCCATGGTTGGACTATCTAGAGGTGAAGGGAGGATGTAGAGTGTAGCTGCCTTAAAACACTGCCTTTTATATAAAAGAGTATGGGATAGCTGGCGTCCTGGGTTCAGAGTTGGTTGTATCTGGCTAACTTCTGATGCTGAATGGGGCAGGAACACCACAGCCTGTGTGAGAAAGTTGACAGTGCACACTGGGCATTTGTTAGAGCTACCTGGTGAAACAGGTCATGAGGATGACTGTGCTCACAAGTCACCTAAAAGAGAACTAACAGGTGGCACTCATGAGCTTTGGCCTGTGCCCTAATCTTTCCCAAAGGTTATTTTTGTCCCTAGATTTATGCCAGCCTTTGGGTGAAGAGGAGCATTCAAGAATTGGGGAAGGGGAATGTATATTGCTGCAATCTCTGCTGTAGAGATTCTCTGATGCAGTCACCATGCTTTCACTAATCCTGTCTCTTTTTCTAGCATTGAGTACTGGTTTCGGTGCATGGACCTGGATGGGGATGGGGTGCTCTCCATGTATGAACTGGAATACTTCTATGAGGAGCAGTGTGAACGGATGGAAGTGATGGGCATAGAACCACTGCCATTTCAGGACTTGCTGTGTCAGATGCTCGATCTTGTTAAGCCAGAGAGAGAAGGTAAGTTCTGTTTAATAGAGCTTCCATGCTCTTTGATCTGTGGTGCATTGAGAAAGTAATGTTACCCTGAAACCCATTTGTGGGTAGAGTCTTGTGTTAGAATCACAGGGCTGGAATTACTATACAAAGTAACAGTAACATTATGGCTGTTGCAGCATAATGTTATACATAAAGAAGTCTGAAAAGCTTGAAAGACCTTGTGAATGAACTTGCTGGCACTGGAGCAGCGAGTCTTGTATAGTCCAGCTGTGGAACATACTGACAGCCTAGATGTGAAACTACCATCCCCCTTCGCATTCTTTCACATTTCACATAAATATGAAAGACCTCCATATTATCTCCAGATGTATGTGAAATTTAGAACTAATACACACCAATTTATTGAATAATGTTTATATTCTTGTCAGGATTGGGAAGAGATTTTGCAGTATTGTAGCATAATGGTGCAACAAGTCTTCCTTAAAACTGACCAGAACAGGTCCATTTTCTCACTAAGGAAAAGATTAATAGCACAGTATCACATGTGGGTTTTTGTTTCTGCAGGACGAGTAACCCTGCGAGACTTGAAGAGATGCAGAATGGCTCATGTATTCTATAACACGTTCTTCAATTTAGAGAAATACCTGGACAATGAACAGAGAGATCCCTTTGCAGTGCAAAAGGTATAAATCACTTTTATTTCTAAATACAGGCCTTCTCAAACTCATCTTTGGAATTAAACTGGATGAAGGAAAAATCCAACTGAATATAAAGAAACCTTTTTCACACTTAGGGCAGTCAGACACTGGAACAGGTTGCCTAAATAGTTTGTGAATATTTTGACCTTGGAGGTTTTCAGCATATGACTTTTGAACTCCCTGATCGGACCTCACAACAGACCCAGAAGTGACCAGAAGCTGGGAGATGTCCTGGGTACCTTCCAAACCAAACCGTTCCACTATTCTATGATGTGATTGCCTTAGCTGATCCTACTGCACCAGCACTGGTGTTGCAGCATGTGATTCTAGAGAGAATGACCTACACCTGCTGAGTTGCCAGTGATTCATCAGGTTGTGCCTGGCAGCATTCACCATCCTCTCTCCAGACAGAAAACATATAAAAGGTTGTCACTTCTGTAATTTCTTGTTAAGCTAGCTGTAGGGTCTTCTGGCACCTGAGCTTTGTCAGTTGTTGGCGTGAAGTCCCTCACCTCTGGTTCCCCTTGCATATCCACTGAAAACAGATGTGGCTATAGCTTAAAAACTATCTCCCAGAAGGCTTTTATGCAGTCAAAAGTACAGTAAAGTGGTGGGGATGCCAAAATTGACTCTGGTTCCTTCCCAGTTGGTTCCTGCATAACCTGTATGAGGAACTTTGCAGTTCCGTGCTTCTAGGTTTAAGTATATCCAAATCCGGAACCACCCTATTTAATGTTTTAGGTTTCTGTTTTTATTTTTTAAGGATCATCCTTAGTTATACTCCCTGGACCCACCTGCCTGCTCCTATCTTCCCTTGGCTTATTGACTAAATGGCAGAGAGGCAACTGTTTATAGAGATGTTACTTTGTAACCTTTCAAACTTTCCCCCACTTAGCAAACTGTTAAGAACAACTACAATTGACAAATAAGGATTTCAAATTAAGTCCTTTAATCAATTGCAAATTGTGAAGATGCATGGCTTTTTGAACTAGAGCAAAGAAAATATGCAGAAGTTACTGTAGAATGACTTGGGTTGGAATGGACCTTTGAGGTCATCCAGTTCCAATACCCCTGCCATGGGCAGGATTGCCAGTAGTTATTCAGCATTTCTGAAGTGGAGGGGGACTGATTTGTTGGCAGGTCAGGTCACACACTGAGTTTTGTAGTCTATGTGTAGTCTGTGTGTTTCATAATATACAGGTGTTAATTTAAGGTAACTGTGAGTCTTTCAGTTAACACATTTTTTGACTGTTTTGATACTGTTGGTGACTGTTCCTAGAACTGGCTGTTCACATGTGCATGGAGTTACAGAGCATGAGACCCATTGTAAACATAGTTGTAAAGAGTTGCAGATGTGGTGTACTTGACTGTCTGCTCTCTTCAGGATTTCGAAAATGATGGCCCTGAACCTTCTGACTGGGACAGGTATGCTGCTGAAGAGTATGAGATCCTTGTGGCTGAGGAGTCTGGGAACGAACAGCTCCAAGAAGGGTAAGCAGAGGCATTGCACTGCCCTGGAGACACGTTCCATGGCTCTGGCTGAGATCAGGACTCTGCATCAGAGCGTGGTGAAGCCTGAAGTGGTTGCTCCAAAATGGCTCTGTTGGTAAATTTGTCATAAGGGTCTTGGGATCTTCTGAATTCTTTGTTGTCAACCATTTAAATTAGCTACACATGCCGCAGATGTGAAGATAGCTGGGAAAAAGGAAAAAGCATTTTTCTTTTGGTAACAGTACCAAAAAGATCTCAAATGACTTTTGCTATTCCTGGCTATGTGTTAATGGTATCATACTACTATGGAGCAGAACTGTAGCCGTTACATTTGCCATATTAGTGGAGACTTTATTTTAGTCAAATAATTTTACTTCCTGCCCAGCTTTATTTCTGTTAGTCTTTGCTCTTCATAACCTGTTTCAAAATTGTAATTCTTTTACTAATCTTGTGTAGACTTTTTATTTAAAACAGTTGGCTTCTGCAATATTTACAGTAATTTTTGCAAACGTGTAGAAATGTATATTGATAGCTCCAGCTATCCTTAGAGCCAATGAATTTAGGCAGAGCAGTAGGTCCAAGAATGCTCTGTATGCACTCCACAGAGGCTCCCAATGCAGACTTGCTGTACGCATGGCTGGGGTCATATCTTCTTGAGAGTATTTCTCCAGAGATCTCTTGATGGTTACTGTAAGGCACATTGGAACAAATATGTTGTGCTTCTACATGGTGTTAATCTTGCATGATTCAGGATTTCATTCATTCTTGAGCAGCATTTATAGAGCCATGAAATAAGAATCCTGAGATGATTGCTTAATTTTCAAAACTTCCCACAATGGAAACTGCTTGGATAACAGTAGCATCCACTAATTGGCCACTGGGATTTACAAAGTTGTGGAGAGCTGCATTTCCCTTTCTCCCTGTGATGTGCATCCAAACAGCAATAAGCTGTTCCTTCATCTGCTTTAAGCTGCTTTGTCTTTTTGTGGCTTCCATAATGAAAGATGATGTAACACAGGATGGAAGATAAAATTGTTGTATTTCCTGCATCTGCACTGCAACACCTGTGTGCTCAATACAGAAAGGAAATAGGAATCTACCATAGAAGCTTTGCAGGACCGTGAATCACCAAATTCACCAAAAACTGAATTGGCAGGTGATGTCAGATTTTTGAAGTCTGTCTGAAACAGCTCTGTGTCTTCCTCTAAAGAGCATGTCAGCAACCTTGCTGCTTGCTTTTAAGAGCCCCTGAAAAGCTCTGTAGTCATGGCAGCGGCATTAGATCTCATTTGTGGAGCATAGCAACAGACCACAAAGGAAAAAGGGAATGGAAAAAGAAAAACAAAGAGCTGGATGCCCAGACAAATTTGCTATAAAAGAGGCATTGAGTTTTTGCATATTCATCATTTCTGCCGTCCTTTGAGGGTGACAGAAACAGAGTGGGACGAAACGAAGATGATTTATGAGCTCTATGAAGGAGCAGATGATTTTTTAGCAAAGGTAGCTGGCAGAATGTGAAATTCAGTGTTTGTCTGAATACATTTGAGAATAACCATCGTTCAGCAATTGCAGATGAATTAGTTGGTATTCTCCACTACATTTATGACTTAATCCTGCCCATAGCTTTTCTGACTGGAGGGTTTCTGAAACCAGTTGGTGTCTGGCTACCCGGATGCTTGTCCGTGACAGAGCACTGCCTGTGGAAGAGGAATCTCACCGAGACACAGCGGATGCTCAGAGAGGCTTCAAGGATGCTGTGCCTGGTCAGAGCTGGTCAGGTGCTGTCTGCCTAATGGTGAAAGGCAGGGAGATCTTACAGTATTTACTTCTGATCCTGAGTGGCAGCTTCAGAGATTTGCAAGTACTACTATGGTAAATTAAATACCTATGTTGGAAAACACAAGGACAACACACTCACCAAAAAGAAGAGAAAAGAAAGGTGTTCTTTTACTCAAAGCAACAATTTGGAGCATGGTGTTTCACTGGAAGCTTAAGCTGATCTGTACGCTTCTCAACCATGTTTTCTGGTTTATACACCTGTGTACAACTTTTCAAGGAATAGAGCCTGTTCCCTGGTGAATGCATGCACGTGTTTTTGTGTAAAGGCAGAAGCAGTAGTTGAATCTGACCACGAAGACTCTGAAAGCAAAACTGCTATCTCACAGACTTTGCAGGTGATGGCACAGAAGCCTCTCTGCAGCAGGACATACGGATTGGCAGGCAGAAATTGCTCCCAGGGCTTTGTTGTGCCTGCACATGAGTTAGAAGAGGGAAAAGCAACACAAAAGTGGCAGATGGCTCTTTTTTTGGCGCTGTCCACACAGGATTTCAAAGGAATTAACCTTTTTCTAGGGCATTTTATCAATGATCAAACTGGAGCTATTCCTGTGCCTGCCAGTGGAAGACCTGCTGCAACATTGCCTTCATAGTAAGCATTGCTTTCAGAACTAAAGAATTTGAATTTCTTGGGCGTCCTGAGAAAATAACTTGCGATGGGCTGAGGCTGGGGGAAAAAATATCATTTCTCTGCAATATACTGCAACTGGTTGGAGAGAAGAATTTGCAGACAAATCTCCCTAATCTCTCCTGGATCTTCAAACCAAATGGGAGAGGAGCATGACAGTGTGGCCACAGTTGATTTTTCTGTGAAGACATATCGTAAGCTCAAAGATACTTTGGAAACCAAGTGTTAGTGAGCAAGTCTGAGCAAGCCAAGTTTCCTCTACGAGCTGAATCTATGCCTGAACAACTTTATTTCTACACTAATGCTACTGCAAGTTACTGACATCTGTGACTAAAACTGTATTCAGATTTCTAAATGCTGAACACCAATGAAAAGCTGTTTCAGAACTTAAGAATAAGAATGGATAGAGGACAGTCAGCTGTCAGCATACTGCTTACTGAGGCACTGTATTCTGTGCTTTACAGATATGCTCCTTGAGGTTAACATCCTGCATGTTATCATATTTTAGTCACATGGTTTAGTGGCCACTGAAATAACTTAGCTGAAAAATGCTCTCACCAAAAAATAGCTTTTAAAGACACACCTTTTATCTTTACAGATCATTTGAAGAAGACTATGAGACAGATGAAGTCTTATCTCCCTCTGAAACTGGAGACAAGTCAAACTAGTTATCTCAGATCTCTCAGCATAGAGAAATGGAAGATGTGTAATCAGTGTCTGTCAAACTGGATAGCAGTCAGTCCCAAGATGCTTAGGGACAGTTAGGGATTTTTCTTAAGTCTGTCATTGGAGCAATGTGTTTTATTTTGTACATTGTAACTTGAAAACCCCTTTTTTCTTCTTGTGTAACTGCAATAAGATAATTTCTTTAAAATAGCTTTCTACAATGTGTTACTGTGCACGCTCATTAAAAATGGTGATTGCACCTTGTTTCCTTTATCTTTTCATATAAATGTCCCCAGATGTGCAATAAATGCCAGCATCTAATGACAAACTAACAGCTGCATGCAACATCTACAGCAGTCCATTGGTTCAGTCCTGTGCCATTATGACTCTTTGACTTTACAACAGGAGTGACAGAAGTTGCCAAATTAATTTATACATATATGTTTAGCAATCGTTTAAAGCACAAATCACAGTGTAGTTCTTGGTTTTGCTGGTGTCCTGAATACCAAGGCAACATGCCTGCAGATAGGGAGAATGAGGTACCCTTTTGTGATATAAAGCTCTTGTACATGATAGCAAACAAATTGTACTTGTGTGCATTTGTGAACAGTTAAAATGATGTCGTGTTTCTCTTTAGAATTTATGATGTAATTAACGTTTCTGCATATTCTCTTGTGTGTGAGAGGATCTCCTGTATGAATACCAGTCAGGATAGTGTTTTTTTCTCTGTAGAAGTGTTTTCTAGTATATTTACAAGAGATGCATACAGTGTTCAGCTGGTGTGCTGGAACTGCAGTGTTCTGTTTCTTTCCTGTGCTCTTCCCTTCTCTTCTACTGCTAATCTGTAGCCTTCTGCAAGAGAAAATACCTGCTTTACCCATGTGTGGTAAATTTCTATGAACAGAGAGATTCTTTACCTGGTAAAGAAAACCTCCAAATATTACTGATTTTTTTTTTTTTCCACCCCTGAAACCAACCTAGATTCAGAGAGGAAGCTTGTGTAACTGATGAATTCTTGCTGTAAGTGCAAAACTGAACTGACTTTCCCCATGGAATTACAATTGATGTAGACAGAACCCATTCACTTCATAGATAGATAGCTTGTGAATACACATGCTTACTATTATCCCAGCGTATCTGGTGCATAAAAATCCTGCCCAATGGTACATTCATCCCTAGGTGCTATGTCTAAGTGTTGCTGTTAATAACAAATAAGGAATTGGCTGATCACTACAACACAGCTTCAACTTTTCCAGGAGCCTTTGAAGTGTCACGCCTGCTTCCTGATGCCCAGGTGGGACATACTGCTGCCTTGCTGAGGTTAGTAACTCTCTCATCAAGATCCAAATCTGAAAGGGAGGAAGTTACCAGTTACGCTGGGCTCAAAGAACTGTTCCCTTTCCCACGAACAGTGTTGCTATTTTATCTAGATGCGTATACACATCCCAGGATCCTGGATTTTTTCATATATTTGGGGAACTTCTGAATGCCCAGATTCTTAGCAAAGGCACTTTGAGGTAACCTCCATTCTGCAGTGACAGAATTAAGGAGGGGGCACTCTGACCAAAGGATAAGTCCCTTTTAATGCAACAAGCACACAAGAACAGCTCTGTTCAACTCCAGGGTGTCTGAGTTACATCTCCATCACCACTGTGACCCTGAAAGGAAAAGCTTTACTTGGAATAATTCCACAAAGATCCACATTCAGAAAAAAATAAATGATTGCAAAAAAAAACCCCAAACCATAGGATGGAAATCACACAATGGCCAATTATAACCAGCTCTTTCTACTTCTTCCACCTCAAAGAACCAAGGCAAAGCATTTCACCTCTTTTCTTCATTATCTGGGCCTGAAGTGGTTTTTTAGTCTTTGATAAAATTTTAAATCTCTCCAAAACAAAGGTTACTCAAAGGAAGAAGAGAGGAACCTGACCTATTCCAGGATGGAAAACAAACAAACAAAAAAAAGAGGAACATCCTAAGCCTGGTAAAATCACCTGTTACGTTTTCAAGCTTTGGCTTCAGTAATGTGAGGCAGACATTCATGGCTGTTCTTCTGAGCACTTTCACTCCCAAACCCAAGGATTTCTTTTTTAACAAACAGGTTCTCTGCTGCTCCAAGTAGAGTGATTCCATTTGTCCCTTCTAGCAGGGCAACACAATGACACTAGTCTGAGGAATATAAAATAATAATAAAAAAGAATAAAAGACAAGTTAGGGCAGATGTTTTGCCTCATGTACAAGAACAAGCTACAGAAACTACATGAAGTAATTTGTAGTATTTGCTTTCTGGAACAGAAACCCATTTTCTGTCTTACTAATCCATGTGTAGGTCATCATAATTCAGCTGTCACAGATTAATTAGTGAATGAAGTATTTATTCTACACCCCATTTGTGACTTAGCCCTGTCATAACTTCTCATGGTAAATTGGAAATTCTGTCATGCTCCTGGAGTTTCTGGGCTGGTTACAACATCAGAAGACAAAGATGTTTGGGACTGCAGACACAGAGCCTGCTCCCCTGCAGCACACACCAGCTTCAGAGGCTGTGAAGCTCTCTGAAATGAAGCCTACGAACCCAAGAATTACAGCACAGAACACTTCCAGGAACCCACTTTGCTCTGACTTTGCCTCCTGTATGCAGCTGTCAGTGTCGCTTTAGATGCCGCTTTAAGGACAGATCTTACATTTTTTGTTGTAAGTCTGTTATGAGCTGGATTCCTTTTCTTAATGAATAGTCAAAAAAGTGACTGAAATTCAGTTCTGCATGATAAAAGAATACGTGTGTGTTTGTTCCATCTGGTCTGCTTTTGTCTGGCAAAAACAAGTCCCATGTCCTTAGAAAAAAACCTTATTTTCATATTCACAAATATCCTCTCTGCAGTGTTAAGACAGGAGATGTGGTTCAATACAACCACATGCAACTACTGCTGGAATGGTACTAGCCTCATTTTTTTTTCTTTTTCTCTGCAATCTCAGTAGTAATTCCTTCACCACGTTTTTCACCAGCAAAAAGCACCCAGGCTGGCACAGTTCCCCTTCTGCCGGCCTGCCACCACGCGGCAGTGTTGCAAAACAGACACGGACAGCAAAAAAGAGATGGCAGGCAGCCTCAGGTTTACAGGAAACATTGCAGAAAACCTTCCTGCTTTCGTGAACTAAGGATTAAGGGAAGTTGACTTGAGAGACTCTAAACAAGGTCTGTGCTTAGTTTCTGAAATAAAATATGCCTGAAAGAACAGAAAGGAAAAGAAGTGTACTTCTGGAATACAGCACTTCCACAGCAGTTGCCCAGGTCTACGCAATCAAAAATGAACCTCAGTAAGGAGCACATGTTACTGTGAGAAAAACACGTCAGCAGTGCTTGGCCTTTCCATCTTTTCTCTGTATCACTGGGTGATGGTTCTAGAAACTGAGTATTTAAATAATAAAGGTTCTTAAACTTTGTAAAAGTAGTTTTGGAGGCGTTTTGTGCTGGTATGGTTTTATCTTTGTATTTCTACTTTGTAATTTCTTCCTTTTTTTTGGCAAATAAAGGACTTCTGAAACGAGGAGGTAAAATCTGTCTCACAGTGGTGGCACAGTGTTACTGTTCACTTCAGCTCCGAGTGCTGTCCCAAATCTGTTGGCCTTATTGCTGCTGAGCTCACACCATCCAGCTGCCTGTCAGCAACCCCATGGAGCCAGGAGGTGCAGCTCTGCTAAAACACACCGGGGAGAAGCAGCAGTCCCAACACTCACCTTCCTCAGGTCTTCCTCCTCAACGTGGAGCACTACTCCTGTACCAACTTACCAAATTCCTCTGTCCCTCATTTTAATCTTAGAACAGACTTCTCCTGGATCCTCTGCAAGCGGCACAGAGGGGAGAAAGAAAAATATTCTGCTCTCATCGCATGCAAATGCTGAAGTAAAAGTGCTGCATTATCTTCTTTCTTCATTTGTGAGACCGGTGGCTGCACCCACACACATCTGATCTGTGGATTCACACTTTTTGCTAGTGACCTCTGGCTTCTTTAAAATGCCAAGTGCCCTTCAGTTATAAAAATGGAGTAGCTAAGACTGGACAAAGACGTGCTTGCATCATGAGCAGTACCACCTTAACACGTGTTAAGTGTCAGAGTGAATGTTATCAGCTGCACCACATACACCTGAAGTTATTCTAATGTATCCAAAGCTGCTCTTTTTTGTTGTCCCACTTCTCAGGAAGGCATCGCTAGCAACCCCCCTTTTTTATTCTAATCTGTATAAAGATTTAATACATAAAAAATATCTGGGGTGTGTGCGCTCCCATACAGTAAAGAGATGCTTTTATTCTAGATCACACCAGAATTATTTGCAAGATTTGTGTGCCACGTCTGTATGATCCTTTTCTTTAAAGTCCATCTGTCTCACCAAACAACAAGCCCCTGCTGTGCTAGCAATACCTGCTTTGAAAGCAGGGCTTTCAGGTTTTATTTCAGACTGCTGGTGTGTCGCAACTCTACAGGCTTCCTTCTGACTATGCAAAATTTGACAGTGGTTTTGGGGAGGGGGGAGCTGGCAGCCTTGTTTCTTCTGTCTGAAAACTCCATGGTGACACAGATTGAAGCAGCTGCAGAAGACAACATACTACCTGCCTCCAGTTTGTGGCAATGAAGCCATACTCAAATGCATGTACAGAACATCCACAGGGAGTTAACAGAAGCAGAAGAGCATGTTGCAACCTCATTGTTCACAGGCACTGTACATGAGGGTTAGAAATGTCAGAGAGCAAGAACATCACCTGCACAATTGAACTGCCTGCAAGAGTGGCATAAACCAAGTGGTCATTTCCAGTTTTGCTTCCTTGCCCCTCCTCCCTCCAGTGTTTAATCCAACCACCGATGCACACATAATATATGGAAAGAGCCTTTCCCATTTAAATTTAAAGTTTAAATGTTTTCTCTTTCTTGAAAAACCATCTTCCATATGTTCAGGCTGAGATGGCCATAAGCACTAGACTATTTTTGTTCTGGTGCACATCAGAACACAATCCAAAGTCCTTCTTCCAGAAGAAGCTGTTCTTTCCATCTCTGCAGCAGTTTTCAGGCAGGAAGACCACCATAGCAAAGCATATGCTAAAACTATGCTTTTTCTTTCTGATCCAGCTCTGCAGATGGCAGAATTTTATTACAGTTTGGAAGTTTCACCTTCCTGAGGTGGACTGGGAAGAAAGTTTGAGTGTCACACACTTCCTAAGTGAAATTCCCAAGCAGGCTCCTATTGCCAACACAGAGAAGA